ACAATTTGGGGCGTAATTTAAGGAGGCTTTTCCCAGGATGCAATTGCTCGTAGACTGTATTCACCCTCTACAGCAGACCAAATTATCCACAAATTCCGAAAAAGGGATCTTTTAATGATAGGCCATGTCCAGGGAGACATAAAGCAACAAACGCCAAGCAGGACCGGTGCATTTGTCTGAAATATCTCTGATATTGATTACGCGTGGATTTCTAATTGGCACGAGTATCCATAGGTGTTCATGGTAAAACCTTTGGAGCTATATCAGTTTGCGTGGAAATTAAAAAAGAGCACGGCGACCTTTCCTTGGTGATATTTTAATGGCCGTCCGGCGTAAAAAATATCTGTTAACCAAAAACCATCTTATGTGTACCAAAGCCGTCAGCGATGGTCACACAGACAATTTGCTTCCTTCGCGGACCAAAGTCTGGCTTTTCGCGGGATCCTATTAAACATATAGTGTTGTCGCTACCATGTGCTGTTACGTAGAGATTTCGTTGCACAACATGACAGAAATTCTTTGTTAGGACTCTATTTTTTTTATAATTCGACATAGCATGTTTTATATACCCATTGTAGCCGAAAAATGATAAAGAAACATTTTTGTTTGATATCTACGGAGTCCCTTAAGTGCCAAAGATGAAATTTAGAATATTTGTGCGCGTGACTTTAAATCTTGTGCGTACAACTTTTTTATACTTGTGCGCACAACGTTTTTAAACTTGTGTACACAACTTTTTTAAATTTGTGCGCACAACTTTTTTAAACTTGTGCGCACAACTTTTTTAATCTTGTGCGCACAACTTTAAATTTTTCATGGTTAAATTGAACTAGACTGAGTTATGAGTTTTAAGAAGCAATATTTGGTTAAGTAAAACCAGATATCATGGATATCTTTTTAGTACCGGACTCCATATGTGAGAATGAAGATGTGTTATGTGCTTTGGAAAACTTTGCAGAGATTGACAAAACAAACCTTGCAGATTTTCTTGATAGCCACTCTTGTAAAAAATGAGAAACCTGACTATTTCAACCGAATCATAAAGGAAATTCCCCTCATTAAGAACTAGTTCAGCAACCAAAGTGCATTGTCCGGACTTGGGAACCTTGATCAATCCAACGAATTAACAACAGCGTTACAATACGTAACAAACGACTTTTAAGAACGTTTTGGGAAGCCTTATTTTTCTTGAAAACCTTTCTTCTACTGATAGAGATGCCATGCAGCACTTGAGAAAATGCACCAAAGAAATAGTCCAAGCCAAATTGAAATTGTTTTAATGCTTTTGTACAGCGTCTGACTTAATGTTGAAAGAACAGGCAGATATTCCATTCAGTTTCTTTCACAAGATGGTCTGGGTCATATGGGAAACTTTTGGAGGTAACAAAGCGCTACGAAAATTATCCCTCATTTAGAACAGAATTTAACTGTTTCTTTACTATTTGGGTAATGGACATCATTTAATTACCAAATTGAAGTCTTGATGAATACATGTATGTTTGCATATCAAAACGTTTTTTTTTTTTTATTTATGTTGATCATAATTGACTCTTTTTATTCATAGCCTATAGTTAACTTGTACCAGAAACAAATATAACAATTAAATTCATTATGTGTAGAAAATTGTTAAAAAAACTACCCTCAACTTTTATATCTTTCACACATATTTCCCAAATGGCTATACTGATGTAAATATTTGATTTATCATAGTATTAATGTGTAGGTCTGTCGTCAATAATTTTTTGGGAATAAGAAACAATGAATATGGTGTATAAATTCATGACACAAAATTTCTACATACACTTGACAACGCCCAAAGCAACGGAACAGCAGTTTTATTGCTGTTCTTCATCTCAAAGTCACAGTGATGCTTTCATCGGTCTCACCGCAATGTAAGTTTAAGACGGAATTCTTTGCTGTATGTCTATAACGATACGGGACTATGTTAGGATTTTTGATTGCATGATTACAAGGGCATTTTGAGGCTTATTATTTTATCACAATGTGTTATTTCTAATGAATAATTGGCTGTGTTATTTCATTGGTGTGATAATTTTATAACTGAAAGAAATGGTTTAATGACAACCAAAGCACAACAATGAGTTATTACATGATTACGCGCAGCCCCTTAACAGAGACTCGATAAATCTTCATCTGTGTAAAGATTTTGATCCAAACATATAACATACCATCAGGGTATAAAGCACAGGCACACAACAACTAAATATTTGAACATGTCATAAAAAAGAAGATGTGGTATGATTGCCAATGAGATAACTCTCCATAAGAGACCAAATGACACAGAAATTGACAACTATACGTCACCGTACGGCCTTCAACAATGAACAAAGCCCATACCGCACAGTCAGCTATAAAAAGCCCCGAAATGACAATGTAAAACAGTTCAAACGAGAAAACTAACGGCCTAATTTATGTACAAAAAATGAACGAAAAACAAATATGCAACACATAAACAAACTAGACAACCACTGAATTACAGGCTCCTGACTTGGGACAGGCACATACATACAGAATGTGTGTGTGTGTGTGGGGGGGGGGGGGGGGGGGGGGGGGGTTAAACATGTTAGCGGGATCCTAACCCTCCCCCTAACCTGGGACAGTGGTGTAACAGTACAACATAAGAATCATAAGTTAGTTATGATTCCACAATATACATTTCTTTTAAATACGAAGTTGTATTTGTTGTGCGCACGATGTTTACCGGATCAAGGTATGTCAAACAATGAAGTAAAAGCAGGCAAATATTGACAATTAATCTGATTTTTCCATTTAAATGTTTAGTTATAGTCTTGGTTCTTCAAGACATCTACACAAATATGTCATTTTCATGATAATTTATGTTTAAGCCCTGTCAATATATCTCTAGCACCTTGGAAAGATGAGCTTCAAATGTTTGTAAAATGCTGGGACGAAAAAGGTCCTCTAATGCCCCTTATCCTTTCAGGTTGCAGTGGATTGATTTACTTGATGTCTAGGAAATTGTTACCAGGACCAAATGCAGATAAGAGTTTGCTATTTGTTTTTTCCCTTCAATTCTGAAAATAAAGGCACCAAAAAGGGTGGAAAGTCAACATTGTTAAAAGCAGGTTGTTACTTATCGGTTCGAAGTTAGTTGAACGTATATGCCAGTCTAATTTTAAAAAAGACATCCCCTATCTGCCACCTGATAACGTGCTGGTTAGATTTGTGATCTGAGAGAGGTGGGTAGCTATATTCTGACAAACCACAAGTCATACTTCCCTATTTGTCAAACAGCCTATTTTTCCGACACTTCCTTTAGTCGACAGTCCAAAAGTTGACCAACCCTTTTTTTCCAGAAATTTTTTGGACGACAGGTAAAAACATTGTGTCTGTTTCGTTCTTATCTTTAAATGAAAAATGCACGCATTGATTTCTGTATTTACAATAAGTAGTTTTTAAGTAAACAAGTTAGTTAAGTTGTTTAAACGAGTTAGTTAAGTCGTTAAAAGAAGTTAGCTAAGTTGTTAGCTAAGTCGTTATAACAAGTAAGCTAAGTCGTTATAACAAGTAAGCTTAGTCGTTACAACGACTTAAAAATAAAACTCCAATCAAATAAAAACCAAAAACTGCTAATTTTCCTTAAAATTACCAATTCAGGGGCAGCAACCCAAAAACGCGTTGTCTGATGTGTCTGAAAAATTTCGGGCAGATAGATCTTGACCTGATGAACATTTTTACCCCTGTCAGATTGGCTCTAAATGCTTTAGTGTCAGAGATATAAGCCAAAAATCTACATTTTACCCCAATGTTCTATTTTTATACAAGGCGACCATCTTGATTATTGGGCGGGGTCATCGGATACTTTTTTGAAACTAGATACCCTAAGGATGATTTTGGCCATATCCGCTTTAATTTTGCCAGGAGTTTCAGAGGAGAAGATTTTTGTAAAAGTTAACGACGACGACGGATGCCAAGTGATGAGAAAAGCTCACTTAGCCCTCTGGTCCAGGTGAGCTAAAAAAACAAAACGGACAAAAAGCAACGGACAAAAAGCAAAAGTGTCGGACAAAAAGCAAAATTATCGGACAAATAGCAAAACGGACAAAAAGCAACGGACAAAAAGCAAAAGTGTCGGACAAAAAGCAAAATTATCGGACAAAAAGCAAAACGGACAAAAAGCAACGGACAAAAAGCAAAAGTGTCGGACAAAAAGCAAAATTATCGGACAAAAAGCAAAAGCGGACAAAAAGCAAATTGCGGACAAAAAGCACCGTATCACGCGCCAACCCTGTATAACAGTATAACATAAGAACAAATTATAAAAATCAGTTGAAAAGGGCTTAACTCATCAGATCGATACAAAGCAGAAATACATCTCACAATGTTCTTTTATGTAGTGCTGAAAGCCATGTTATAACATTAACGGTACCTATTTACTGCAACAGATGCGCTTTTCGACAATTAATCTCTCTTCAGTGATGCTCAAAGCCAAAATATTTGAAATTCCAAAACTTATTCAAAAATCAAAGAGCTGATAAAACCAAAAATTACAAAAAGTGTAGACAAAGTGTAGACAAAGCCGGGTAAGAAATCAGAGTTTTGCACGAGGCAGATATACTCCTTAATTTAAATTAATTTCCAAAATTTGGTAACATGAAATTTCAATGACACAATATCCATATTGATAAATAAATGATTCTTAATCATATAGTGTTCAGTATAAATAAATGTAAAATAAAGAAGAGTTAATGCAACATTTTGATAATAAAATTAAATAATGATAGAGTTTGTACGATAACCATTCATTTGTTCAAAAAAACATTAATTTCAAAAAAGGAAAAAGGTGTTTGAGACTTGCTTTGTCAATGAAGAAAAATGGGAAGGCGCTCTCGATCTTCGTATGAATGGAGTTTTTCAGTTAATTGTTAACGGTTCCCTTGATTTTCTCTACTTATTCAACTGACTGTAGTTAATTAGACGATGGTAAAATATAATGCCGTTTAACCACACCAACCAAATAACATGACAATATACTGGTTTATAAATCAACAATAAATATATCATGATTGGATACAATACTTTTACAATAACAATAACATTAGTTCTCATATATGATGTTAAGTATACCCGAAATAATTATTTAAAAATCATGGACATTTTTTTAATATTGAATGAAAGTTTAAAAATACAGGTACTGCTCCATAAATATTTGGCCATGGTACTGGGTATTTGATATTTCACAAATATTTATAAATATTACACCATCGAAACTGTAATTATCATCAATATTGATTTTATTTTATTTTAATGAAGAAAAAAAACGTCATTCTATGATAAAATAACGATTTCACAAGTAATAGCATCGTGTCGATTGACAGTAAAATTCACAACCGATTTCGATTGTCAAAGCTGTTCTCAATGATAAGTAGGAAAGCTCCATCTTCATACAATAACTCAATATACTATGTCAAACTTTGACAACCTCCGTGAATTCTGGAGGCCGCATAACGATTTCAGTCTCTGCTTTCTCCGCTTGTGAGACATTTGGTTCAGGTTCGTTTTTGTTTCCCATGACTGAATTACTCGGCGATTTAGACGATGCAAAGCCGGTATTGTTTGTTTCTGAATTTTCTTCTGTAAAGCTGTCGGTGGCATTTAAACTATCCGCCTTCAATGCTTGAATACATTTCTGTAAATATTAAGATAAGCTCCAATAATTTTAGTTCAAAAATAAGATGCTAATTTTAAGGCTTGTATTTATTGAATGTAACGTCATTCGCACATTGAAGACTTTAAAGGCGTTTACACTTTGGCTGTTGACAGTGTTGTATAAACAAATTTCAGAACTCTCAGTGATACGAAACTTCAAAACTATCAATAATTCTTTGACCCGTCCAGTTAAACTCTACTTATAAAACGAAATGATGTTTGTATTTTCCCTTTCAAATATTTGTAATAGTACATATTCGACGTTGAAAACTAAACTTTAATGAGATAATGATGAGACATTTATAGTATGGCATATTCAAAATGAATGGATTTCTATTCATTTTTTCCTCGTTTTTTTATGTTCAGTGATCTACAGGGTACTAATAATTTGAACGGCATGTCGATATCCAGTTATTCAACTCAATAAAAAAACCAGCTTGTTTAGGTAGAATATACTTGTCGTAAGAGAAACCTTTGGTGTATGAATGAATGCTATTTTGGAAGAAGAAATATTAGCAATTTAAATTTGTTCAACGAACAATGAATTTTAGATTACATTTTAAAGATGATAATTTACATAGATTTACATATTTATGACAATATTTTAGATACTCAGAAAGTTTCCTCGGCTTGTCTATCAGTTGCTTTTGTACAGTTGTTTGTCTTTTGATCTTTTTCTTTTTTTTGCATTGGAGTTGTCAGTTTATTTTCGACTTATGAGTTTGAATGTTCCTTTGATATCTTGTGCCTCTTTTGCAAGAGACGCTAGTTGATATGCAAACTTCAATCTATGTTCAGCCTCAAATACGTCACAAATATTTGTCCCTTCTTTTCTCAAATCTGTGTCCCTTTCAACAATGTCTATGTGTTGACGTCAGAATGATTAAACCATTATCGAGGAAAGATTTGTTTGGCCAAAGTCTGCAATACGACTTTTATATTCAAATATCAAATCGATATCAGTTAAGGCGTTCGAAAAATTGACGTTTGTTGAACTTTGTACATCGGAGCTTACAATTTCTCGCAATAGAAAACAATGTTTACAAAGTTATACTGTTTAGTTTAGTCAGTTAGCCATATAATCAAGTTTTTTATTAATTTTAAGTAAAAAAATATGAGTGAAAACAGTCAGAATCTATCAACTTGTTCTTCGCTCAATATAGACACATTAGTCCTTGCCACTCTCTTAATAATGTACAATTATATTATTTATTTATGTTTGTCTCTGTCCTGAGTGTTCTTGCGTTTAGTTGTAATGTATTACTGTCAATTAATGTTGTCATTTTAGCGGTATTTTTAACATTGCCATGTTGAAATTCCGTGTGATTTTCTCGTACAAGGATCTACAACTCTGGCTTTTGTCGGAGTTTCATTGTAATCACATTGATATGATTCCGATTTTATTAATAAGAGTTTGTTCTGCTTGACGTCGCAATACTACAATCATGTAGTAATTTTTGGTCTAAATTAATAAAAACAAAACTCATACAAAAAAAAAACACATGATTAAGATAAGTCGGAAAATGTTGTGATTTTAAACCAGATTAACGTATGCAAAAACTTGAACCCATTATTTTAGATAAGTATAATATTGTTATACAGTGTCTTGTGTCAGTAGTCAATGTTTCTGTACAGGCCGGTCAGGTATGCTTACACTTTGATATTGACACGGGATTCAAGGTTAAGAAAAGGTATAATATTTTGCCTACTAGTAAAAGTCTAAGTTGATCATCCAGGTGGGAAACGTTTTCCTTAGATGGTTTTATATTTGGTTTAATAATTCTTTAAAAAATCTGTTTTGATTCTCTTGTACTTGCATATACACTTTGTTAAGTATTAAGCTTTTAATAAAGTTGTGTCTGCAATTATTTGCTTAAGTACTGAATACTACCTGCTTGAAATTGCCTTTTCCTTTATAAATGGCATGGACTGCTCCAAGGATCATACAAAAGGTAATTGGAGAGATTGAAATGATCCATCCAATTTTCTCTGCCCATTGTTCATCGTATCCAAATATAGAGTACGGATACACATTTAAAGCAAAGTAGTAGATAAGCATTCCCTGTGTAAAAAAAGACAAATCGAATGATATATAAGCAATTACAATTGCAATTTAAAAAAATGCTGTTTTTTAAAGGACAATTTGGGAACAGTCTTGGAATGTCATTCCCTTGGTTGATAACATTTGACTTTTTTCAGTTTTAATGGACTTTCCCTCTTTGAATTTATTTTGCAGTTCGGTATTTTTGTTATACATTTTTGTCATTTTTTAGTAAAAAGTAAAATAACAAAAATACCGAAGTCCAAGGAAAATTCAAAACGGAAAGTCTCTTATCAAATGGTTATATAGAATATAACACAAAAGTTTACGTTTTTTTCACTTACTCCTTTTATGATATCACATTTCACCATTTTGAAATTATTTTGAATCCAAAACTGCCTTACAAATTTAATTTCTTTTTTCAAATTAAATGTCGAAAAGACCAATAATTTTCGCCCGCTATACTTATGATCAAATATGGTTGATATTTTAAATTAAGCATTATAAATCTTTTGTAACGTAAAATCAAAACGGGAAAATTGGACCTTTTCACTTTTATAAAGCTAATGTAAAATATAAAAATGTTCAATATGAAGATCAGAAATTAACAGAAAAATTTATCAACCATCTCTTCCGAACACAGGGTAAAGTTAATTTACATAATGTCACTTTCATAAAAAAAAAATGAATAAACTGATATATCGATGACTGTGATGAAGTTCGTATGATTTAACGTATCTCAATTTAGCAAGAAGTCATTGAACTTTTTTCAAATATCAAAGTTCTTCATCATTTACATCTGTATAAAAAGAAGTTAACCACAACTGGGCTTGTCGTTAAGCCTTACACCATGTGTCTACATTAGCATTCTGCTACTTACAACTCACACAATGATTCAAAAATATATCCGTCTATCTTGAATACAATGGCATGAATTCAGATTACATCAGCTATTTTAAGGTGTGTTTTAATACTTGTAACGACAGATGTCATTCATGATTATTTTTTTTTGTCATCGTGCATTAGTTATGACTTGCAAAATAATGTAGGTTTAGTCTACTCAATATTGTAAATCTTTATTTCATAAGATTATTACTGAAAAAATATTGAATGAACTACTTATATATTTGTATGTGCAAGTTATTATTTGAACATAAGCTCTATAAAACAAAATGTTTAACTATATCGTGCAATAAGAACATGTATCAGAAATGGTCTAACGGTTTGACATGGATGCCTTAAATCCGTATGATTTATGCGAGTCATTTTCAATCGGCAAAGATGAAATATTTGATACCCAAAGATTTCAGGGATATATCTTTGATAAATACAATTATTTCATTCTTTGCAAGACAAAGCTTTACTTACAGCAGGAATCAAAGAAGCCAGTCCATACCAGGCACTCATAAATACACGTTCAACTGGTAGATAGAGCGATTCTTGCTTTACTGAAATACAATTGTGTTTTAATCATTTAACTATTCGTAGATTCGTCTGTATTTTTCCACGTCAAAACAAATTTATTACTGTAGTATTATATTCCATTATGTTTATCTTTATTGTTTTGACCAATGCACTTAGTGATTTGTCATTGCAGAATTAATTGCAGACTTAAGCACACTCTTTATTTCCTGTCCAAAATGAGGAGCCTGTAATTCATTGGTTGTCATTTGTTGCTATATATCATATTTTTATTTCGTTTGGTGTTTTTTACATACTTCAGACTCTTAGTTTTCTCGTTTGAATTATATTTCATTTGTCATATCGGGGCCTTATATAGCTTGCTATGTGGTATGGGTTTTGTTCACTTTTGAAGGCCATACGATGACCTATAACTGCTAACTTTACGTCATTTGGCTTCTGGAGGAAAGTTGTCTCATTTGCAATCATACAACATCTCCTTATGGTTGTATAAAATGTTTCATTTGTAATTTATTAAAAAAAAGATACCAGACTTATAATTAAATGATGTACAGTACAAATCAGTTATCAAAGTCAATTCAAAATTCTCGACTTTTTAAGACAGAACAGTTGAAAAAGAATATCAATTGCGAATTTGAAGAGCGAATTTCAAACTTAGTTGTGCCAAATTTGGCTAACCAAACGTTCTTAAAAAACCTTCGAGAAATATCAAAGTCATTGAAAAATTAGGATGGGTTGTTAGAAAATTCATATCAACACTTGATCAACCTGACTTAATTTAATAACGCAACATTTGGTGAGAAACACATTGTCAGTCTAAATAGCCAATCCAGTTACAAATAGGCAAATTTTGGAATGAGAAATGTCGGAATAGCATGAATTTTAGAGGAGGCCAGATCAGATATGTCGACTAGCACTCTTCAAACCATAGCATAAAATAAAGAAATGGCTGTTCGCCAAAACTTTTCGGATAAAGTATACTTGCTTTAATTACAATTGATGGTGTATCGTTTGGTTTCAGTAAGTCTAACAAAAAGTATAAAAAAAACGAACTCAAAGGCAATTTCCAAAAGGAGAAGTCCATAAAAACTGACAAAAATCAAAAGTTATCAATCAACGGAACAAGTGAAAAACAACTGCCATATACCTGACTTAATAAAAGGCATGGCTGGGACTACATCATTGCCATCAAATAAAACTGTTCAACTCCATTCATTTCATTGGAATAATTCAGATAATCAAAAGTTCAAAGATCTGTATTGTACTTATTTTTATTCTGAATTGTCTCTCTTTGTATATGAACTCATGTAAGTTTATTCTTAAAACTTAAATGTACACTTTACATTTTATTTTCAGCTCTATCACATTGCAGTTGGACCACAATACGCCGTTTTGGATAACACATATCCGTAATGCATCAGAATGTTTTGTTTTTCTAATTATTTGATGATATGAAACGAATCCCCCATTAAAGTAGTGATTTTTTTATATAGCTGTATTGTAAAATAATTCTATTTTTCATATCGTCTTTTCAATTCACATATATTCTTAGAATATATTCAATCATACGCTACTTCACTTAAACTAGAATAGAATCATATAATAAATTCATTGATATGTGGTAAGACAGTAATTAATGCAAAATATTTTAGGGTCAACCAAAACCACATCCGTTGTTAAACTTTAGAATTAGCCATTTGCTATCAGATAACATGTCAACTTTTCAACGGACAAAGATAAAAGATTCTTATACGCATTGTCATCCATTCATGAATGAGTTTGAAAAGAAATATATTATCCACATTATTTGCGTTAGTTTTAAGGCACACAGGACGACATGCTACGGAATGTTGTCTTTTTGTCTAAAAAAGTGGCATTTAATTTTGTAAAATATGTTGGTTTAACTTACTTGAATTTAAAGATTCCATGCATTTTATACAGTATTACCGATTTCATAATTACATATAGTAAAATACCGAAAAAGATGTTAAAAACCAATAATAATTATATAAGACGGCATAAATGTAAAGGTATGTTACCAATTCAGTGGCCACGTCATGTTTGTTACGTAAGAACGGACAACATGTTATCAATAAAATAAACTTATGGATAACATGCGCGCTACGTAAGAAGTTATGTATCTAAATGCATTAATAACATTTCGGTTACCAGTGAAACATAATTAAGCGTAATAATAATCATATTTCAGACAACATAAATAGTTACTAATTTAATATGTGTCACCTTATAATCTTATTACAAATATAGTCTGCTTTCTAAATGTGACTAGAAATCTATTAGTGTACTTATTTTGAATTATTTGAAATAAAATGTACATGCAATATAGATGGGCTTGGATATTTCCGATGTGAAGGGTTTGATCGAAATACCGTTATTAAAATGCTGTTTACGATTAATGGGTTAAATGTGCCTTTGTTCTTTTTGAGTATTTTTAATCTTTTACCTGTTATAAATTGTCCTTGTTATATTTTCTATCATAAACAGAATAATTGTGCAAATATAATTTATCAAACGGCAAAGTGTACAATTTGGAATGTACAGAGTGAAATGTATTGTATTTTCAGTTAATTCATCTCTTTTTGTCTTTTTAAATAATGCATATGTTGATGATGTTAAAACCGTTAAGTCTATAATCTCGTGTAAGTGACATCTTAATTGTTTTTTTTTTTTTTTTTTTTTTTCAGGGGGTTCTTCATATATTTCATTTTAAAGGCTTATAATTTGGTACGCCAGACGAGAGTTTCGTCTACATAAGATGCAACAGTGGTGCTCATATCAAGTCAGTTCGATAACCAATTCCATTACGAAGTTGGAGAGCATTAAAAACCAACAATGCCGAAATGACATTCAATATCAAACTAATGATGTAAATTGTCAGCGGTACGATAAAAATTGGCAAAGGAATACGTGATATTTGTCAGGGTTCTCTTTTATATAGGTAAGTTTTATTTGTATGATACTGCAAAATATATTTGTTCAATGTGAGGTTTTCTGCGTCTCATTACTCTCACTGGTTTGTTCCTTTTTAGTTGGTCATTTGATTAAAACAAAACTATTATTATCTGTTATAAACAATTGGTAAATAAACCTCTTACAAAGAAAAGAAACCAACAAAGAAAAACTTAGTATTCAAGCTTTACTTCTACAAACGTATAAATAAAAATAATTAATGATATGCAGTACTTATTATCAAAGTGTCATATGCTTTTCCTTCGCTTAATTCAATGTTATCTTTGTTCCGTCCTAGTTCAAACTAGTCCATATTCCCTTCACGTCATCGATAATTGTGTGTCGCACATTGTCTTTTGTATTTATTGTCTTCCTTGCTACCATATCCCATCTTGCAATGAAGCTTCATTTAAGCTGATGATCAACCCAATAAAAAGTGATATTTCTATTTCATCCACCACAAGCACTTCTACATAAATCTCTGATTCTTTTATGACAAAAACAACAATTTTCAATATCATCGCCATAAAAATCGCCACAAGTAGCACATATTCTTGCGTATTCAAAAATTTTGGTCATCGGTACATCCATTAAATCACATGGCATACATGTCTGGTTTGACAGCACACAACAGAACCTCGTGCAAAAAATTATAATGCACATTTTTACAGCAAAAAATCTCTGAAAAAAATTAAAGAAAGTATGAGGATTATTTGAAAAAAAGTAGATTTTTTTCTATTAAGATTTAAATTTAGCTATGAAATAGATATTCATGAAACAAAATAAAACACAATTTATGGCAACTTCAATAAAATGAAATGATGTTATATAAAGGTTGCACAAGAAAATATATTAAGTCGTGGAAAAACTAACCATTTCTGCAGCGTCAGTAAAAATTAATACAGACATGTAAAGAACCAGTGCTATATATATACTATTTTACACCTATGATCACTTCGTGAAGGTCATATAGTACACATTTCCGGTTTTTGTTCAACCATCGAAGTCAAATATTACCTGAACAGCTGTCACGTTCATATATCAAAGACATGTCCATACCCCCAACAGTTATTTAAATGTACATGTACTTTAATTCATTTTCAATACTTTTGTCACTTAAGTAATAGATACGCAATATAGTATTTTCCAGCTGTATTAAGTAGATAAATGCATTTACTACGACATAAATGTTGTGACGCGTTTATTTCATTGCGTAAATATATAATTTCACAATTGATTTTGTAAACTACGATGTCAATTGATAAATTCCCTATAGTTTCACCTCTTTGTAAACATTAGTATCAAAGCAGCGAATAAAAACACAAAAAAACCTTTATAAATGTAAACAACAGAGGAAACACTATTTCAACAAATTGACAATTCTTTACGCAATTGTCAATGAATAATCCTCCTATGTAGAAAAAAATGAATAATAGGTAACTTGATGACCACATTGATTTCAACCAAAAGGTTTTGTAATATTTAATCAATCTTTTCACGGCAAATTACTCTCCATAGGAGACATTGGATGACAAATTATGAACCCATATGGAGATAATAACAATGGATAATAGTAATTTGTATATACATACGCTGTTTTACATTCTTTTTGTAGTCTGTTAAGGGTTCGGTTTTTGTGATGATGAAATATTTCTAAATGGGGATCGACCGTAAGGAAAGTCGATTTTTTTGATAAATTCTCTTTTAAAATGAATGAATCGGATTTTAGTGCACATGACGGTTGACAGGGAAAATGACATGTGTTGTGTTTTGAATTATTTCTATCACGGTATGCTCAAGTTAAAAAAGGTTGGACACAATGCAAAAATGTTAATCATTTAAAGGCCTTTAAACCCAAAGAGCTAAATATTTATCAAACAAGGGTCTCAAAAACTAAGTCGGTTAAATATGTCATTAGGAAAAAGAAAGATAGACGATGAAAATTGTTTATCCCAGGAATTACTACGATGCGATGAATAGATTGTTACCCCTTATGAAATTCAATTAAAATTCATGTGGTAGTTTAAGATGCAAATAAATTCCAAAATAATTTCGAAAAAAAACAAGTAAATGAAGGACTAGTCAGTGGTACAATTTCATATATTGTAATACGCTTCAAACAGACAAAACAATAAATAAACAGACACCTGCAGAAAAATATTTAGACATTGATGTCTCTGCCAAGTAATAAAGAAAATAGAGAATAGTTTAACGCAGTCAGACTAAATGTAATAAAAGAGTTTGCCGTTTCTGTCCTGGTGTCAAATGAATGGTATTATCTATTTTCTATATTTCTTGACAAAGACGAGTTGTAATAATGTTTTCACTCATTCTGAATGCTTTTTGATTTAGTCTCTAATAATGATAATCCTTCAATGAATTGTTTAACGAATAAAAAACTTTCAAATGTATTTAAAAAACATAAATAACTTGTAATGACCACAAACATATACTAAAAGGAATGTCTCTTTATATTTGCTTCATATCCTGACTTTAATGATTTACTAGAACTAGAGGCTTTCAAGAGCCTGTGTCGCTCACCTGATTCTACTTTGGTTTTGGAAATCATGTTAAAATAGATTAAAATCATAACAGATACCCTAATGATGAGTGAGGCCAAATTTGGTTTAATATTGGCCCTGTAATTTAATAAAAAAATCCTGGTGGCCATCTTGAACAGTAAAGGAGGGACGAAAGATACCAGAGGGACAGTAAATCAGCAACACTTCATCAGCACCTCATTTATGCCATGTTTGGTTTCATTCCATTCAGTGCACCTCTAGAAGAAGCATTTGTATGTATTTCCAATAGGGTCTTATGTTAAAGGAAGTTCCACCGCTGGCGGCCATCGTGGATGAAGGATCAGCTTCAAAGTAACAACACTTAGACAGCACCTCAACAAGGAACATTCATGCCATGTTTGGTTTCAATCCATTCAGTGGTTCTCTAAAAGAAGACATTTGTATGCATTGTCCATAGGGTACTTTTTTAAACACTGTCCCCAGCTGGTGGCCTTCTTTGATGATGGATCGGCTTCAAAGTAACAACACTTGGTCAGCACCTCATTAGGAACATTCATGCCATGTTTGGTTTCATTCCATTCAGTGTTTCTTTAAGAGAAGACATTCGTATGTATTTCCCATAGGGTCATATGTTAAACTGAGTCCCCCGCTTGCGGCCATCTTGGATGATGGATCGGCTTCAAAGTATCAACACTTGGTCAACACATCATAAGGAACATTCATGCCATGTTTGGTTTCATTCCATTCAGTGATTCTCTAAAAGAAGACATTTGTATGTATTGTCCATAGGGTCCTTTGTTAAACTAAGTTCCCAGCTGGTGGCCATCTTTGATGATGGATCGGCTTCAAAGTAACAACACTTGGTCAGCACATCATAAGGAACATTCATGCCATGTTTGGTTTCATTTCATTCAGTGGTTCTCTAAAAGAAGACATTTGTATGCATTTCCCATAGGGTCCTATGTTAAACTAAGTCTCCCGCAGGGGGCCAACTTGGATTATGGATCGACTTCAAAGTAACAACACTTGGTCAGCACCTCATTAGGAACATTCATGCCATGTTTGGTTTTATTCCATTCAGTGGTTCCCTAAAAGAAGACATTTGTATGTATTTCCCATAGGGTCCTATGTTAAAATAAGTCCCCCGCTGGCGGCCATCTTGGATGATGGATCGGCTTCAAAGTAACAACACTTGGTCAGCACATCATAAGGAACATTCATGCCATGTTTGGTTTCATTCCATTCAGTGGTTCTCTAAAAGAAGACATTTGTAAATATTTCCCAAAGGGTCCTATGTTAAACTAAGCCTCCCGCAGGGGGCCAACTTGGATTATGGATCGGCTTCAAAGTAACAACACTTGGTCAGCACCTCATAAGGAACATTCATGCCATGTTTTGTTTATTCCATTTAGTGGTTCTCTAAAAGAAGACATTTGTATGTATTTCCCATAGGGTCCTATGTTAAACTAAGTCCCCCGCTGGCAGCCATCTTGGATGATGGATCGGCTTCAAAGTAACAACACTTGGTCAACACATCATAAGGAACATTCATGCCATGTTTGGTTTCATTCCATTCAGTGGTTCTCTAGAAGAAGTTCAAAATGTAAAGAGTTAACGGCGACGAAAGACGACGACGAAAGACGACGACGACGGACGACGGACGCAAAGTGATGAGAAAAGCTCACTTGGCCCTTCGGGCCAGGTGAGCTAGAAATGGTTCACCATAAAATGTGCTTGAGGCAAACAGTTGTGTTATGTTTAAAATGCCGATTTTTGTCGTGTAAACATATAGTTATTATAAGATTAAATGGAGTAGAGCAAGAACACATTAAAAGGTAGACAAGCTGAAGTATAAACTAAAATTTTCTAAAAACAAATTTAGAACACACACACAAAGACGAGGGCTCGATGACAAAGTTCCTCTGATCTTAGCCAGTTTTTTTAGTTTAATTGCTAATTCATATTGATGATAAAGCTATGTCACACAATAAGCTAAATTCAGCAAGTGCATGAATCTCCAATGTCCAGCTTGACATTAAAGATACAACTTAAGCTAGAAGGTCTTTCATTCCTAGATTATTTTTTTTAGAAAATAATGCAATCGGTCGACTTCTAACGAAGATGAAAAACATGATGACTTCTGTTTTCTCATTTTAAATACCTTAATTGATACATCACATGCGTGCACCTTCACATTATTTGGACTACATTAACAGAGAATGCTGATAGCGCTACTGAAATCGACACAAAATATGTTTACGGTCACTATCATGAGTCAATTGACAGATACATTGTGTCTGTGTCTCAACTGAGGACTAATATGTTCTTTGTCTTAGATCTTTATACACTAGAATAGTTGTATTTTCTTTAATTTTACCGATTGCCATATTCTCTATCATTACCACTCGGACGGGACTGTATTGACATGGCGGATGATGTATGCATAGCAGGAGTCGCTTACTCTGTGGACGCACCGTATGGAGTTCATGCGATTCAATCAGTTTTCTTACTTTTTTAAATGAATTAACGAGTTTTAAAAATCGATAAACTTCTATTGATGCTTATGTATATTATGTTACTGAACCTTTGGGATTTGATCATTGGAAATTTATAGTTCATAACATCGTACCTGTCCTTTATTTTATTTGAGATTTATACCTCAGATTCTTATATGTCAATATCAATGGTATCAGCACAGTTACTTTGTTTGCTGCGATTAATAGCTTTTTCTGGATTATCGGGAATTATTAAAAACAAACGTCAAGAAAGTCACAAGATAAGAAAATATTTCGAGCAGACTTATCTAAGGAGAACCAGATTAAACAATCCAAACCATGTGCATCTTTACTCAAATTTGCGAGTCTCTTCTTAAGAAAATATGAATTTCTGTAACTTTAAATATAATTATTTCAAAGGTTACATTTCCTTCAGGTAAAGATGACCGAAGATGAGTTTGGCTATTATATTTTATATCCCCTTTAGTCATACAACTCCTAACGTTTCTACCTTTTTATACATCCCTGACTTAGTAATGTTTAGGTCTGAGCGTTCCTGATGAAGGTTAATCCAGAACAGCGCTTCGGACGCACGAAATAAGGAAGTGTTTTCAAAGGAAAATTTAATTTTAATTTACTTTAACATGCTTTAAACTTTATTTTGTCATAAACATATGTATTTCAGATCATACTGATATCAGTACGTTGATGTCATACAGTTATTCGGTTTATTAAATATAATTTTCGTTTTGGTTGAAATGATTTTAATTAAAATATAAAAAAAAAATCCACAAAAAATATTTCACAATGTCAATGTGTTTTATAAAATGTAATTATACATGTACTAAATAATTTCATGCTAGTAAAGTTATCATGATACTGAGTAAATTTAGATGATTTAACTAAACTCATCATTGCTAGGTCATTTTGTAAACATCGAATTGGTTATTGAAAAGAGACTTTTGCATTAAATAGATTTTAGTTTAAATAATCCTTATTCCCGTTTAGTAAACACACCAAGAAAGCTCTTTTTTAGATTTAGAATGATTCAATTTACCAAAAAATTGTTTAGCAGATAGATATTTTAATTGATCATAAATAATAAAAAATATGCTTATTTTATTTCGCTGACGTTATATTAATTTTTTGTTGTGCTGATTTTAAATCATGCAATCGTTCATCATTGTAAGGACGAGTGCAAATATCAAGATAAACTCATATATAAAAACTCTTCAAAGATACCCGGCTTATAATTGTGTG